CCAGTCTCTGGTGACCCTTAGTCTCCGGTGTGTTTCTGAATTTGCTCTAGGTACCTTACAGAAGTGGAATCATATAGTATTAGCCTTTTTGTGACTGGCTTATTTTACTTAGCAAAATGTCTTTCAGGTTCATCTATATTGTGGCACGTGTCAGAATTTTCTTCCTTTTTAAGACCAAATAATATTTTATTGTTATGTATAGACCACATTTGCTTATCCATTCTTCTGTCAGTGGACACTTGGGTTGCTACCATGTTTCAGCTATTATGAATGATCTTGCTCTGAACATGGGTGTATAACTCTCACACTTTGTTAATACCACACTTGTTTGCCCATTCATCTGTTGATAGAAATTTGAGTTGGTTCCAATTTGTGTCTGTCGCAAATAAAGCTGCTGTGAACATTCATCCACAAGTCTAAGGGCCTATGCTTTCGTTTCTCTTGGATGGATAGCGGTGAGTGAGTTAGGTCACATGCTAGATCTATGTTTATCTTTGTAGAGACTGTTAAACTGTTTTCCAAAGTGGTGAAGTAAGCACAAGTGGCTATATTGTTGCAAGAGATGTATCATTTTATATTCTGAGGCAGTATATGAGAATTACAGTTCCTCTTTATCTTCACCAATACTTGGTATGATCAGTTTTTTTTTTTTTTTTTCTTTTTGAGAGAGATTTTTGCTATAGGGCACATGCACTTGCTGGAGAAACAGAAACATAGAAAGCGAAAAATCACCTCACCTCTTCCCTCTTCCCAGGGGCAGCGGGGGGAATGGCTATGCCATAATCCCTTCTCCATTCCCCTCTCGGGACTTTGGGTATGCACGCACATGTGTCTGGCGTGTTTCAAGTTGCTGGGTCTGGGAATGGAACTGCAGTTGACTACATGGAAGTTCAGCACCTTAACTACTATGCCACCTGCTGGCCTCATGATCAGTCTTTTTCATTTTAACAATTTTAATAGGTGTGCAGTCCTGTGTCATTGTGGTTTTAACTTATATCTCCCTAATGACTATGTTGTGCCTTTTGTATATTGTCTTTGATAAAATGTTCAAATATTTTGTTGGTTAGTTTCATATTGGGTTGCTTTTATTCTTTTTACTGAATTTTAGAGTTCTTTATATATTCTGGAAATAAGTCCTACATCAGATATGTGGTTTACAAATATTCCCCAAATCCGTGCCTTGTCTTTTATTCTCTGAACAGCAGTTTATTTTTTTAAGAATAGGACATTTCGATCTTGGTGAAGTCCAATTTATCATTTTTCTTTTATGTATCATGTTTTCATTGTCACCTCCAAGAAAATTTTGTCTAATTCAAGGACACAAAGGTTTTCTTTCCTGTTGTCTTCTTGAAGTTCTAGAATGTTTTCTCATACACTGCTGCTAAGAATGTAAAAGGACAAAACCACCTTGGAAAGATACTCACTTTGAATATGATCATACACACTTTGAACATGATCCAGTTCACTCCTAGATATTTGTCCAAGAGAAAAGAAAGTCCTTAGGAAGACTTCTGGTTGAATGTTATAGCAGTTTTGATTGTTGTAGACAAAAACTGGGAGCAACCCAAATTTCTATCAGCAGAGGAATGGATATAGTTTTAGGTTTATAGTTAAGGTCTGTGGTTCATTTTAGTCTAATTTTCTGCATATAGTATGAGGTATGGATTGGACATTATTTTTAATATATGTATATCCAATCATTTCAGCATTTGTTAGTAAGATCATCTTTTCTCTGCTGAATTGCCTTTGGATATTTAATGAAAATTAATTAATTTATATGTAGGTCTATTTCTGTTCTATTAATCTATTAGTCTGTTTTAATGTTTATGCTACATTATCTTGATAACTTCAGATCTTTAAGTTTGAAGTTTTTTGAAGGTAGTGTTAAAACTCTGACTTTATGCTTTTTTTTTTTACAAAGTTTTTTGGAGTACTTTAAGTCTTATGTATTTCCATATGAATTTTTCAACCAGCTTGTCAATTTCTACAGAAATGTCTACTGTAATTTTGATTGTGATTACTTAGATACTATTCACCTTGAATTAATACTTGAGGTGAAATAACATCTTAATGATCTCCTGAATTATGAACATGGTATACCTTTACATTTATTTAGATTTTTTGGGCAGCTATGCGGCAATGTTTTGTAGTTTTCTATGTATGAGTCTTACATATACTTTGACATATTTATCCCTAAATGGTTCATATTTTTATGCTATTTTAAATAATTAAAACCATTTTAATTTCCAATTTTTTATTGCCATATAGAGAAATATGTTTGAGTTTTGAAAATTGCTCTTGCATCTTGCAATCTTGCTTCCTTCACTTATTAGTCCTAGTAACATTTTGTGGATGCCAATAAATTTTCTGCATAGATGATCATGTCATATACAGATAAAGACCATTTTTAGTCTGTTATGTTGCTAGTAACAGAAATACCTGAGTCTGGGTAATTTATTTATTTATTATTTATTTGGAGAGGTTTTTGCTATAGGACGCGTGTGCTCGCCAGACAGACAGAGAGAGACAGAGAGACAGAAAGTGAGAAATCACCCCCCAGGGGGGATGGTCACGCCACAATCCCTTCTCCTCCATTCTCCTCTCGGGATCTTGGGCACGCATGCACACGCACCTGGTGTGAGTTTTAAGTCACTGGGACGTGAACCGCGGTCGACTATGTGGGAGTCCAGTGACATAGCCATTACGCTAACTGCTGGTTCCCAGTCTGGGTGATTTTTTAAAAAAGAATTATTTATTTAATTTCACTTATTCATTCACTTTTTAAAAAAATTTGACCAGAGAGAGAGGGAAAGTAAGCCACCAGGTCTAGGACTTGAACCATGGTTGGCCATGTGGGAGTGTCTAGTGCCTTAACCACCATGCCACCTGCTGGTCTGGGTAATTTATAAAGAATAGGGGTTTATTTGGCTCATGGTTTTGGAGGTCCAAGGTCAGGTGGTCATATCCAGTGAGAGACTTCCTGCTGGGACAGTCCTACGGTGGGCATCCCAGGGCAAGGGCAAGAGCGTAGTAAGAGAGGGCATACTTGTGTATCCTTATAAAACCACAAGTATCCAGTCATGGAGGCCCCACTCTGATGTCTAATCACTTCCCAGTCTCACCTGTCTATACCGTAGTTGGATTAGGTTTCTACTCTCTTATTCCCATCAGAAATTAATCTCAACACATGAATATTGGGGGGACACATTCAAAGCATAGCAAAATTATTTATTTTTCTTTGCAATCTGGATTTCTTTAAATAAATCTTGTTCTTGCCTTATTGGGTTGTCTAGAACTTCTAGTATAATGTTGACTATCACTGACAATAGCAGACATCCTGATGTTATTCCTGATCTTAAGAGAAAAGCATTCAGTCTTTCGCCATAAAGTATGAGGTTAGCTGTGAGTTTTATAGCGCCTTTTACCAGGTCAAGGAAGTTCCCTTTTATTTCTAGTTTGTTAAGATTTTCATCATGACTTGATATTGGGTTTTGTCAAATTTTTTTCCTATAAAACTCTGACTTTATGCTTTTTTTTTTTACAAAGTTTTTTGGAGTACTTTAAGTCTTATGTATTTCCATATGAATTTTTCAACCAGCTTGTCAATTTCTACAGAAATGTCTACTGTAATTTTGATTGTGATTACTTAGATACTATTCACCTCAAATTAATACTTGAGGTGAAATAACATCTTAATGATCTCCTGAATTATGAACATTTATTTAGATTTTCTTTATCTTCCATTGGCAATGTTTTGTAGTTTTCTATGTATGAGTCTTACATATACTTTGACATATTTATCCCTAAATGGTTCATATTTTTATGCTATTTTAAATAATTAAAACCATTTTAATTTCCAATTTTTTATTGCCATATAGAGAAATATGTTTGAGTTTTGAAAATTGCTCTTGCATCTTGCAATCTTGCTTCCTTCACTTATTAGTCCTAGTAACATTTTGTGGATGCCAATAAATTTTCTGCATAGATGATCATGTCATATACAGATAAAGACCATTTTTAGTCTGTTATGTTGCTAGTAACAGAAATACCTGAGTCTGGGTAATTTATTTATTTATTATTTATTTGGAGAGGTTTTTGCTATAGGACGCGTGTGCTCGCCAGACAGACAGAGAGAGACAGAGAGACAGAAAGTGAGAAATCACCCCCCAGGGGGGATGGTCACGCCACAATCCCTTCTCCTCCATTCTCCTCTCGGGATCTTGGGCACGCATGCACACGCACCTGGTGTGAGTTTTAAGTCACTGGGACGTGAACCGCGGTCGACTATGTGGGAGTCCAGTGACATAGCCATTACGCTAACTGCTGGTTCCCAGTCTGGGTGATTTTTTAAAAAAGAATTATTTATTTAATTTCACTTATTCATTCACTTTTTAAAAAAATTTGACCAGAGAGAGAGGGAAAGTAAGCCACCAGGTCTAGGACTTGAACCATGGTTGGCCATGTGGGAGTGTCTAGTGCCTTAACCACCATGCCACCTGCTGGTCTGGGTAATTTATAAAGAATAGGGGTTTATTTGGCTCATGGTTTTGGAGGTCCAAGGTCAGGTGGTCATATCCAGTGAGAGACTTCCTGCTGGGACAGTCCTACGGTGGGCATCCCAGGGCAAGGGCAAGAGCGTAGTAAGAGAGGGCATACTTGTGTATCCTTATAAAACCACAAGTATCCAGTCATGGAGGCCCCACTCTGATGTCTAATCACTTCCCAGTCTCACCTGTCTATACCGTAGTTGGATTAGGTTTCTACTCTCTTATTCCCATCAGAAATTAATCTCAACACATGAATATTGGGGGGACACATTCAAAGCATAGCAAAATTATTTATTTTTCTTTGCAATCTGGATTTCTTTAAATAAATCTTGTTCTTGCCTTATTGGGTTGTCTAGAACTTCTAGTATAATGTTGACTATCACTGACAATAGCAGACATCCTGATGTTATTCCTGATCTTAAGAGAAAAGCATTCAGTCTTTCGCCATAAAGTATGAGGTTAGCTGTGAGTTTTATAGCGCCTTTTACCAGGTCAAGGAAGTTCCCTTTTATTTCTAGTTTGTTAAGATTTTCATCATGACTTGATATTGGGTTTTGTCAAATTTTTTTCCTACACCTATAGAGATAATCATCTGTTTTTTGTTTTTCTTTTATTAATATGGTGCATTAAATTAATTTTTGAATATTAAATCAATCTTGCAATCCTGGGATAAGATACTCGCTTTATACTTTGTTAGATTCAATTTACTAAAATTTTGTTAACAATTTTTGCATTGCCATCCGAGCAGGCACTGGTGGCGGCGGCATTGGGCAGCTATGCCCAAATTAAGGCTCGGGATTTGCGCGGCAAGAAGAAAGAGGAGCTGTTGAAACTGCTGGGTGACCTGAAGGTAGAGCTGTCCCGGCTATGCATCGCCAAAGTGACAGGCGGAGCTGCGTCCAAGTTGTCCAAGATCCGAGTTGTTAGCAAATCCATTGCCCGTGTTCTCACCATCGTTAACCAGACTCAGAAAGAAAACCTCAGGAAATTCTACAAGGGCAAGAAGTACAAGCCCTTGGACCTGCAGCCCAAGAAGACCCGTGCCATACGCTGTCGGCTCAACAAGCACGAGGAAAGCCTGAAGACCAAGCAGCAGCGGAAGGAGTGGCTATGCCTTCTGCGCAAGTTCACGGTCAAGGCCTGAGCACAGGCCTCAATAAAACGCAGAACTGGCAAAAAAAAAAAAAAAAGAATTTTTGCATCATGGCCAGCAGATGGCATAGCAGTTACATCACTGGACTCCCACATGATTGACTATGGTTTGATTCCCAGACCCAGTGGCTTGAAATCATGCTGGGCATGTGTGCATGTGTGCCAAAGATCCCAGGAGAAGAATGAAGGAGAAGGGATTGTGGCATGGCCATCCACCCTGGGGGAGGATTTCTCATTTTCCTTCTCACTTTCTGTTTCTCTCTCTGGTGAGCACATGTGTTCCTTATGGGGGAGAGTCATGCTGCCATCCCTTCTTCTAAATTTCTCCCTCCTTTTTGGAATTCTGGGCACTTCCTTATGAGGTACAGTCATGCTGCCATCCCTTCTCAATTTCTCCCTCCTTTTTGGAATTCTGGGCACACACACCATGTGTCCAGCATATTTTTCAAGCTACTAAGTCTAGGACTCGAATAGTGTGGTCGGCCATGTGGGCCCCAGCTGCCTAACCACTAGGTCTGGTGGGTTGGCCCATAATAACTATTTTAATGGTTTGTCTGTTAATTCTAATAATCTGTGTCAGTTCTAAGTTTTGTTTTGTTTTGTAGTGTGTGTGTATGTGTGTGTGTGTGTGGTGTTTTAGACAGGACCTCATCGTGTTGTAATCCTCCCACCTCAACCCACTAAGTAGCTGGGACCACAGATGTGTGCCTTGAGCCCTGTGTGCCACCAGGATTTTAGGGTGGGCTGGGAATCAAACCTAGGCCTTCCATGTGGCCTCAGTCTGCCAAGCAGCAGTGTCCAGCTTGCACTGCTACAGCTGGGCCAGTTCTAGGTTTTTACTAATTAATTTTTGTCCTGTTTATGGTCTACTTTCCTGCTTCGTTGCATGTGTGATAATTTTTGATGAATGCCAGACACTTTTTATTTTGCTTTGTTGAGAGCTTTGAGTTTTCATAAATCTTCATGAGTTTTATTCTGGCTGCCATTGAGTTACTTGGAAACAGTTTGATCCTTCTAGGCTGTACTTTTAAGATTTGTTAGATAGAACCACCCAATGCAGAGCTAATTTTGCCCACTCCTGAGATAAGACCATTTTATGTGTTCAATGCTCAGTGGAAAATAAAGGTTTCCCCTTTGGCTGGTGGAAACAGACACTATACTTGGCCCTTTAATCCTTTTTTGTAGTTCTTTCATTGGCCTTCGGTGGCATTCTCATATACCCTGCACTGATCACACTTTGCTGAATACTCAGGGGGAGCAGGGGGCGGGAACTGCACATTTCTGGGCTCCTCTGTCCGTGCAGCTCTCTCCTCTTCAGGACTCCATCTTGCAACTCTTGGCTCCATCTCCTTAACTTATCTCCTTAACTTTACTAAGCTCTGCCTAGAATTTCTCCTCCCTTTGTTGCATCCTAGAAATTGTCAAGGTAGTAACTTGGGAAAAGTGTATGGCTCACTTCACTGATTTCCCATCTTAGTACTTGACGTTCAATACCTTGAAAACTGTGTCATATATGCTGTATAGTGTTAGTTGTTTCAGGTGGGAGGGAGAGCCAGTTCGTTACTCTGTCTTGGTGGGAGGGGAAGGCCCTCAGTGCTCTTTTGCTTTCAGCAACAGCACTATGAAGCTGGGAGGCCAGCAGTTCTGGAGAGGACCGAGGTGGGTCATGGCTGCAAGGAGAAGAGTCAGTTTGTATGAGAGGCTGTGCATCGCTGTGTCCATAGCTGTGTGTCTGTCGTCCCCAATTGCATAGCTGTCTGCACATCCGTCTGCACGTTTGTCTGCAAGTTTGTCTGCATTCCGTTGAGTCTGGGAAGTTGTCTATGGCTGCCTCCGGGGACAGGGTCCTTCCTTTTTCCTGTTCAGGTGAAATTCCATGTTCCTCACATAGCCATTCTGCCAAATTTCTGATGGGTACACCCAAGTCCATCAGGCCTGGGCTGGCCTGTGGACAGGCTGCAGAGGAGCCCAGTAGACATTTGCCTTTTGCATGTCTGGTTGGAAGACTGAGTAGGAACAGAATGGTGTTCTGTTTTGAGTCTTCTGGGGCCCTACTCCCTTCCATTTCTGAAGCAGTTCCATAGGCTCTGGGGACCCTTCTTGGCCCCTGGCTTGCATGAGGATCTCTCTTGACATGGAGGGGTCTGGTTATTGCTATAAGCTCGCTGCAGTTCTGGGAGGAGCACAACCTCCACACGATGGACTGTCCCATGACCTCTGGGATAGCTGTTGTATGTCCTGGAGATCCAGCCTTTACCAGAACCCTCTCCTCCTCTCTTGCTCCCCTCACTTATACCAGGGGTCAGGCAAGGGCTGACATGGCCCAAGCCCCTTTCAGAGGGCCAAGTCCAGTCTGAGGCCTTTTCCTAAGATATGGAGATGTTTCTGTAAGAGGTAACAAAATTCTCATGATGCTTGGGATATGTCTTAGACTGTGTGGACTGCTGTAACAAAATGCCATAGAATGTGTGGCTTATGAAAAACAAATTTATTTCTCACATTTCTGGAGGCTGAGAAGTCCAAGATCAAGGTGCTGACAGATTTGGCATCTAATGAGGGTCTGCTTCCTCAAGACAGCTGCCTTCATACTGTAATCTCATATGGTAAAAGGGGTGAGGGTGTCTCTTCTTCTCTCTCTCTTTTAATTTGCCATAGGGCACCTGCACTTGCCAGAGAGAGAGAGAAAGAGAGAGAGAGAGACAGACAGAGAGAGAGAGACAGAGAGAGAGAGGAAGTGAGAAAGCACTCCCAAAGCAAGGGTTGTGGGCGGATGGCCATGCTACAGTCTCTTCTCCTTTCAAAATTTTTGGGCATTCATGTACATGTACCCAGCGTGTTTTTCAAGCTGTTGGATCTGGGACTTGTGCAGTCAACCATGTGGGGTCCAGCCACATTAAGCACCATGCCACCAGCTGGCCTTCAGTGTCTCTTTTGTAAGGGTACTAACACTGGTCATGAGGGCTTTACCCTCATGACCGAATCACCTCACAGATATCTAACTTCCTCCTACCATCGCCTTGGGGGTTAGGATTTTAACATGTGAATTTTGTGGGGACACACACATTCAGTCTATTGCAGAATAGAAGAAAGGTGTGCTTATTTATGTTTTCTTTGTCAAATTAAATTCTAGAGTTGGAGGCTATCTGACTGACATTTTGCCTGAGGTAGGGTGAGAATCAGCATGGAGAAGGCCTTATGGTTTCATTCCACACACCCTTTCCTGATGGGTGGCCTCTATTTTAACTCCTGTGATGGGCAGCTCAGGGTGATGTGTTAAGCGTGCTGGGAAGCTCAGACTGTGGCAGAATTACATCTTCCTGGAGATGATCGTGGTGAGCTCAGTATTTTGGAATGTGTGTTACCTGTGTGCAGCTGTGAGAAACATCATGTATTCATTGACTCGGTCATTCATTCATAATACATATAGTTGTGGGACAATAGTCCATCCTGTGTTCTGGAGATTCAGCAACCTCTGCCTCTATGGTGTTTACAATTAGTGGAGGAAGCAGATATTAACACAATAAACAAGTCATTACAATGGATCATCCTGGCAATAAGAGAAGTAACAGTATGTGTATGGTAGACTAAAAGTAGAGCCCAGTTTCGGGGCCAGCAGGTGGCATGGTGGTTAAGGCCCTGGACTCCCACATGAGCGACTGTGCTTCGAGTCCCAGACCTGAAGGCTTGCTTTCTCACATTCCCTCTCTCTGTCTCTCTCAGGTGAGTGTGCATGCCCTACAGCAAATTAAAAAGTAATAATAATAATAAATAGAATTAAATAAATACAAAGGAGAGCCCAATGTAAGGTGTATGGAAGATGGACAAAGGAAGACTTTTCTGAAAAAAAGTTACATTTAAATGAGAATGGAGGGCTGAGTATAAAGTAGGCAGGGGAAGAAACAGGAGCAGTGTGTTCCAGGTCACAAGGTGGGCAAGAGCTTGGTCCCTAGAGCAAGGACCAGCCAGATCCAGCTGGAGAAGAGGAGGTGGGGACATGTGGAGCTACTGCCTGTTAATGTGGCCGCGCAATTTGTCATGTGAACTAGGACACACGTGACAGGAAGGTGCTCTACTGCTAACAATGTTAGTGGGGCCAGCAGGTCATACTATTTGTAGGTCAAGGTAAAGAATTTGGGTTTTATTCTCAGGGACCTGGGATGCCACTAGGGTCTTGAGGAAAGGGAGGTATAACCCAACTTGCCTAGAGGGCTTGAGGTGGAGCCTCAGAAACCTCCCACCTTCTTTCCCATCTGCATTGAGGAGCCTCTTGGAAAAGGTTTCCAAAGTACCAGAAATCTTGGGGTGAGAGAGGCAGCCCGGAGCCTAGAAGTGGCCTTCATAGTCCTGTGGGGTGGGTGGTGAGCTGGGTATTTTTGAGTGTGCCACCTGTTCCTTGTGTGGTTCATGACAGTAAGTGACTCTGCCCCAGATAGGCAGGAAGGAGATAGTGACAAGGACTTTCTCATGAGTCCCACAGACTGAGGAAGGTGCCCTGTCTTGCCACAGTGGCAGATGGAGGGAGAAAGGGAACAACTGCTTTATAAGAGTCTAAACTATGGCAGGCAGGGGTGTGGTGAGGGAGCTGGACCTCACATAGGCGGCAAACTCTAGACCCAGCAGCTTGAAAAACACACTGGGTATGTGTGCATGACCAAAACCCCAAGAGGAGAGTGGAAGAGAAGGGACTGCAGTGTGGCCATCCTCCCTGGGGGGTACTCTCTCTCTCTCTCTCTAGTGAGCACATGTACCCTATAGCAAAACTTTAAAAAAAAAAATCCCATGATTAAGAACCTAAACCAGTTTCGTTGTCATTGGTTTTGCAAAGCAAGAATGTCATACATGTGGGTAAGATGACAAGACTTCCTTTTTTGTACCCATGGTCTCCAGCACACTGGTTTCCACCTTTCTATGACAGCTGTCCCCTTACTTTATCCATTCAGTACATTGTCCAAGCAGAGGACACAGCTGGCTCTGGAGCTCACACATGGAGAA